TTGTAACGATGTGGTATAGTGATCTGAATGATGAATGAACAAAACATTGCTATGAAATAAAGATGGGCACTACCTTTTGGTGTATTCCAATTCTTTATAGATAAACAGTAATAAAATTGATAACTGTCTTTTTTGTTATGAATACGCTTTCATCTCGTAAACTCGTGAATTTAATTGTACCTGCAATACACATATCACATTGTAATTTTTTGTCAATCCTTTTCATCTTACCCTTGCATGAGAAATAGTCAATTGATACTGTTCACAGAGTGTTGTTCTATTTATCTATAAATATCTATGCCAACTATTTATTTGTTAAATTTAAAGCTATTGTAATTTTGTAAAATGCATGCACAGTTTTGTGAAATTCATACATTTGAGTGGGCTTGACTACAGAAAAATCTTCATTTAAGTTGAAATTACTGGAAAAAGTACTAGTACATATGTACAAAACTTAATATCTTTTAAATGGTATATAGATTGTTTTAATCTTTCATCAAAAAATGATATTCATTTTTATTAATATACATGTAAAATGATGGTGGTACTTAGTATTGATCAGTTTTAGAATAAACAGTTCAACAATTATTTAGTTCTTTGATTCTCATATCTTCAGAATTAGATCTTATTCATATTTATATGAAAGTCAGACTGTCTATCGTGTAGATTTGAATTGACATATAAAATTATATATATATATATATATATATATATATATATATATATATATATATATATATATATATATATATATATATATATATATATATATATATATATATATATATATATATATATATATATATATATATATATATATTTCATTCTAATTGGAAATAATTATCGTTCGTATAATGTGCTGAAAGTGTGCAATAAAATTAAAGTTAAAATTTCAATGCAAGTTATTTGAATTTTAGATACTTAAAGTTTTCGATTAAATGCTTATATATTTTACTTATATTCTTTGATACATATATCATCTTATCTTTTTCACATTTTAAGATTTTAATTTTTATTATTTTTAAATGATCATATGTTGTTTAGTTAAAATAATTGCCAGGAAACTTACCAACTCTGACGTAGATCTTAAAATTCGTTACATCAAATACATGTACATGCAAGTTTTTTAATTTTTTCTATGGCATTGCAGAAAATACCATCTTTACACGTTTTCCTGCTTTGAAACTCTTGGAATGAAATATGTGTCGAACTTTGTTTTACAGTAAATTTCATATTCTGGATATAATTCATTTATCAATCTTTTTTCTTTTTTTTAATATCATGTCATCAAGTTTCCAAGTAAGGAAACAAACAGTTAAGAATCAGTTGCCAATCTGAGAGAAAGTCGAAATTCTTATTGACTGTATCAAACCTTTATGGGCGCTTTGCATTTCATGAACATTCTCTTATGGTGGTATGTTGTCTTGATTACTCTGTCATTTACCGGTATTTTGTGTGTTGAAGATTTATTTAACATTTTTCTCGGGTTTTCTCTTGAACAAAAGTAGTTCCTTTCTTTGGTGAGCTTTGGCTTTCTGTATTCCTTTTCAATTCACGATTTTAGGAAAGTTCTCCGTGTAAGATTTTATTGTGTCTCGGGCTGATACAGGGTATGATGTGGGAAGGGTAGTTATACTTGTATTTATTACATACTTAGTAACAACATAGAACTATTCCAGTGGAACAAAACTTATTATATAATCACTGACTAGTTAATAGTATCCAAATATATATATATATATATATATATATATATATATATATATATATATATATATATATATATATATATATATATATATATATAAATAATATAATATATAATATAATATAATATAATATATAATATAATATATAATATAATATAATATAATGTCCAGGGTCGTTAGGATCCTACAATGCTGATATGGATCAGCAGGGCTGATGTAGAGATCTCATCCCTTGCAGAAGAAACCTTGAAATATCTGTAAATATAGATTACACTTAAAAACGGGAAAGTTTTAAAACCAAATACTAGTATGAATTGTAAATCTTCAAATTTGATTTACTGTGCAATATGCCCTACCTGTGGAGAATATTATATAGGGCAGACAAACACAAATCAACTCAACGCACGAGTGAGGGTTCACAAACATACATATAAGGGACGAAACTGTCAGATGCACCCCATGTTCAGAGCATTTCGCTGAGTGTGGTAAATAAAATTTAAGATTTTCCCGTTCTACAAAATGTGGACATTGGATGAAATCGCCCGTGTCACCAAAATGGACTATTTGATAAGACTGTTTAATCCGAAACTAAATCGCAAATGATAGATTACATGTACGTATTCACAGATTTTATATTATTTCTATGCTTTATTATATATTGTATTTTAGCGGCGCTGAAAAAGATCATGCAGACGCTACCACAAATTTCATTGTGACGTCATAATGCCTAATATTATCACGACGTCATTAGCAACGTAATTGACAACATTTTGAACTTTTCATAATTATCTGAAGTGCCAACATGGCTGAAAACGCTAACAGTAAAGATTTTATTTAATTTGGACTGTAGCATTCTTTTTTTATTTATTAAAGAATTTTTTACTGTACCATAAATTCAACTTATCAACATATATATATATATATATAATTTTCTGTTTATTACATTTTCTTTGGTTTTCCCTTTGCCTCTGTCTTTCTTAACACAGTGTTATAGGCTTGACGTCATAGTTGAGCGGTTGAGACGTCATAGCTTAGCAGTTGTGAGATTGGAAACATTACATAGCATGGAATTTAGCAACATATTTGGAAAGAATTTTGCAGTTTTAGCTCTATCAAGATGGTTAGTTATTATCTCTATCTTATGCAAGGCCAGAAATTATTTTTTACTTACTTTGATATCCTTTCACACTGTGAGAGAATATCATTTTGGTATCCTTTCACACTGTGAGAGAATATCACTTTTATTCAATAAATAAATCACAGTATTTCACTGTTGAAAATGTAATATATATATATATATATATATATATATATATATATATATATATATATATATATATATATATATATATATATATATATATATATATATATATATATATATATATATATATATCAGCGATAGCATCATCATCAATAATCAATTACATGTAGGTCTCTTTCATCTCAACCTTTCATACAATTCTTTACCTAATATGGAAAAAATAATACAGGCTTCTATCAGAAACCATTTTTTTTAAAACAGGTTTCCTAGCCCATTAGAAGGAAGATGAACACTGTCTGATGAATAAACTTTTATTATTACATTATCATGCTTGAATATCAAGATATATACCCTGTACATGTAAGTAAAGAGTAATAACAAATGTAAAATATATAGTTAATAATAGGTTAATACAATTTCTCGATATCCCAAATTATAGGTATAATTTAAAGTATGATAAATGTATCTTTATTATTCCTATACAGTGATTAGTTTAAATATAATATATGGTGCATACTTTAAATATAATGAGCCAATATCATGATTATATATAATAGAATAATTCTTAAATAAATGTAAAAAATTCTTTTATACAAATATAACCATTTGCGAGTGCAACTTAAACACTTGTTCTCACAGAAATAAACTTATACTAATTGTACTGAAATATGTTTTATTACACGTGTGACAGGAGTCAATTTTGAAACAGTTATATATTACATGTAATTGTAAGGTAAAGTCTCTAAAAAGTGAGTCCTATGCATTTATCAGGTGACTTAGTATAACAACATTCGGTGTGGAACATGTCAGTCAAAATACCACGCAATGATAGGTAGTATTTATAAACAAGATCATTATAACGACCATAGAGTTTGCAAAGAGCCGACTTGAAATCTCTGTAACATTACTGTATTTGTCTGTAGCTTGCCTCGGTTTCAGAATTGATCGTACTCAGAGCATGCTCTTGGGTGTCGAATCAGTTAGGAGATATGAGCACCAGGTGATGCTGGAATGTTACTACATAACTAATAGAAGCTGTGATGGGAAAGCTAACGTCATCCCGTTTGTCATACAGTTTAGTTATTAGTTGGCCATTATCGTCTTGATTAGTAAAACATCAAATTATGAAATAGATGAGGCAGACTCTGTAATGTCTTTTATTTCGAGTTCAGTTGGATATATCGAGTCAAAAGTATGCCCCCCCCCCCCCCCATTAGTTCCTACGATCATGTCTCTCAATGGAATGTTCAACATTCTAGACTTACAAGATTTGTTTCATAAATTTAATATTTCATTGCCTTATCACCTTATCCTTTGAGATTTGATCTTTATATCGTGATTCATATTTGTGTCGTCAGCAACAATTCACAAGTATAGTAAAGTATTAATAGTAACTGATTAGTAATAAATTAATTCATTATGAAAAATACAATGTTAGGATGATGCAGACTCGATTTCAAAATCTTATCACTAAGTAACATTGACTGATACTTGTTCTTGAGTCAAGATTGAGACATTCTACGGTCATAAGCAACAACAAAGTTTGAATTCATGTCAATCAAGTGTCCAGGAGGTGTAGTTGAAACCATTTCGCTATTTCATTGCCTAGTGACCTTGTGACCTTGTCCTCTGACATAGACCAGTTTATAACAGAACATTAGGTCATGGGCAATTGCACACTGATGTTTGAATTCATTTCAGTAAGGGTTTTAGAGTGACGACCCGGGAATGATTTTGTAACAAAAAGACAGACAGTTAAACCAAAACCAATGTACATGTATCTTCTCTCGTTGGAGATGACATATAATTAAAATGTAATTCTGTGTATCCAAAAACTGTGGTTCTCTAATATAAAATAGTGTTGAAAAATGTTGAAGACTACCTTGAAACAACAAAACAAATTTAATGTTATACAAACATAACAAAAATAGTTTCTGGAAAAAAAACTTTAAAAAAAATTCGAATTTAAAGCAAGAGAATGGATCTTTAAATTTTAAAGATATATTAAAAATGATACTTATCCAGAAAAGAAGTTACGTATAGTTAAAACAGATTTTAGAATGAAAACTCCCACAAAACAAAGTGATTTTGTCAACATTATAGAAAAAAGGATATTATAATTAAAAGGTTGTTTATATCACAAGTATTGTTTACATTTGTAAAATGTATCATCATATATACAATCACGTATAGCATTATGATTTATGAACTTAAATCAACAAGGAATTCAAATAAAGTCATATACAGCAAGCATCCGCCACTCATACATGTATGTCAGTGCAATGATTTGGGCGATAGCTAACTTTCATTTAAATTCAACAGCGACAGCCTATTAGAAGTTTTCGTCCTACTTTCTGGATTTTTTTTTTCATTCCCCTCAAGCTGTTTCCTTATATTCTACTAGAACTCATGTTATAGGGTACTTTACCAAAAATGATATCATCGAGAGTTATTGCCCTTGACTTGTTCGTTTCACTCATCAGTGTAGGGGGATCGATCATCCATTTTATGTTTTTGTTTCGTTTGGGGATTGCCGGGGGTCTTGTTGTTCTCCTCGGTTTTGTTCGGAAGGCAGATGACGTCACTTTTAACTGGATGGGAGAGTTTGGTTGAACAATCGCAGACGTCGGGGACATAGTGCCGTATAGCACAGGTCTTGTGGAGTATGTCATTATATGTGGTTCCAATGTTTCCTTTGTGTTCATATTTGATTCTGTATCTTTGTTTGTTTTGTTTATGTAACTTTTTGGCTCCGGAGACTGTGTGTCTTTGAGAGTCGAGTCTCGTAACTCCAAAGGAACATTCTGTGTTTCTTCCTCAGGTACACTCTGAGTCGTTGGTTCAACTGAAGTCTTTAAATCCTCACCAGGAAGAAAATTTGTTGGAGGACTGTTAAAAGGTGAACAAGTGCACTGGCAATCCATGTTAGAGTCCGGAACATATGCCAAACTATGCAAAATCGTTTCCGCTAGCAGAACTATTGTAGATGTCAGGCGTACCATACTGTGTCGAAATGAGCAATGCCTACACCAAACAAATTTACACAAATTACGCCACCTGCATAATTCTATGACAGAAGAACAAATGAGATATAAAAATGATAGACGATGCATGTCATAATTTTGTGCATTATTTGAGCAATTAAAATCTTACCAAGGCCGTTTTTTTCATTAATTGTTTTTACAGAAATATTTTTCCCCTCTCAGAAATTGGGTCATAAGCCGATGAAAAATAATCTTATTAAGAAGAATCAAATTTTAAACTAAATTTAGAATCATTTCGAATGAAACATCCCTGTCTTTAACACTCAATAACAGGTATCAGTTAACTCTATTGATTAAAATTTCTTAAGACAATGATTTTTTTTTTCCAATTTAGTCTTAATATGCATGTTGACAAAGGTTTTTTATCTTCTTGCAGTTTTAGTTAAGTTTTTTGTGGACTTTGCTGGGTTTTTATTACAATTGAAAGATAAATATTTCTTCATTTTCTTTCTTTCATAACACTCGCTAGAGTAAATTATTCCCTTTTTTCTTCAGTCAGATTTTCCTTTATGCAGAAAACTCTGCTTTCAAAAACCTGGTACATATTGTGATATAAACTATACATTAATGTAGGCAAAAGGTTTTACTAGGAATATTTATCTAATTTAGGTAGTGTAATAAGGTACTTTTTCCTCTAACTTAACATACATAAAGTACCAGAATCTATTAAAACTAAAATAACACAGTTATATAGTATAAACTGAGAAGATTTCTCTCTTTATTAGCTGGGAAAAAGCAGAGCATTATTGATGTTCGCGATTTTTTTCTTTTTATTTCAAGTTTGTCGGTCCTGGTAAAAAATATTTAAAAAGGCATAATTTTCTTTCCTTAATATGAAAATAATTAATAAACCGTGAATATATCATTTTCATCGTAAGATTTTTTAAAAAAAAATGTAAGTCACAATAAAGTTATAAAGAAATTCACAATGATAGTTTTTGTCTTTCTGGTAAATAAAATTAACTTTTTCGCAAGTATGGCTTGTAAATTGATATCTTTTCAAAGGGATGTTGATAATGTGATACTTCAAACAAAAAAAATATTGAAGATGCTAGTAATAAAATACCGAAAATCATGTTTTTTTCATTATTTTTTAATAAAGTAATATTCCGAAGCAAAACTGTAATGTATTATATTAATACAATATTGGATGGAAATGGAATTTTAAATGTTAGGAAAGATTTGATTTGGTGCGTTTCTGAATGTGTATACCGGTATATGTGTATACCAATACGTGGATATAATGTTTATACCGGTATATAAACAAGAACGTTTAGCGATGTATTTGATTTAGCGGAAGGCACTAAATAGAATATACAGTCAAATGTGATACAGTAACATTTTCTTACAATGCATAATACAATGATTAAATTATAAATCATAAATAATTTCTCCCTTTCTAATGTAAAAATGAATAAGCTTACCCGTCTTATAATATTCCGTCAGCTCTCTTCAAATCTAAACTGCAAAAAGCACTGACACGTTTTTCAAATTCTTAATGAGACTATTTGGGGCAGCGAGAAACCTGTCAACATATCACATAAAACACAAAGATTAATCATAAGGAAACTTAAGATAGTTCTTGCAGCGAAGTCAACTTTGAACTCCGTGCATGGATTAACAAGGCATGATATAATTTATGCAAATGACAAGAATGCACTAATTTATAAAGTTTGTTTATTTTTTACTGAATATTGTAATTTTTCAAAAATAACGTTCACAAGGTTTCTAATGAATATTTATCAATACGAGGTTGGAGAATTTGTGTTCCTGCCTAAGAGAGGAAAGCCATCATACAAAAGAAGACTGAAGCTGACAATTATGGTTTCTACATATGCTATACATTTCATCGTATTTCCCGTTGAAGAATTTACGCTGTCATTTAAAAAAAAAATTGATGGCATAAGGGCTTTAGTTCATGAAAGCAACTGTGACCTTGTCATTTAGGGGTGAATTCGATAATGGATTGATCAGAAGTGATTATGCAGTGACAAATTCTAATTATCGTCTCAATCATTAAACTTGCATGCTCTCACATTGATTATGCAGTTTTTCTCTTCAATTTGATTAACTGATTTACTGTTCATGCGTCTATAAATCATCAAAGTCATTAATTCCATTTCGTTCCCTTCTCGAGATTTAAGAGATCATGATACGGAAGTATTGCTGTATAAATGTGTGTATATCTACTGGATTGACTCCTTAAACTCTTGTTACATAAAAGCATTTATACCTTTTTAATTATTGTTTTCAAGCTTAAATTTATTTTTCGTATAAAATTTCTAGCATTTTTTTTTATTTATAAAGAGTGTATTGTCTTCTCGACCTGGTGATGGATTAGAGAAAAACAAGATGATAATTAATTTATAAGTGCATTTAAATGGACAATAAATTCAAAATTCATTTAATGAGTTCAAAAAATTAATTGGCAATGTCGTAATAATATTTAGCTTTTGGTAACACCGTACATCTTTTTATAACTATAGAGAAATGCTCTAAATAAGATTGCAATGTTTAAAACCAATCTTTTGGGTCTTAAAACTTTTTACTTTTTCTAGTTGTTCTCTTTAAAAAATAATAATTTCACACAGAATAATGATAAGAACGATTGATTGATTGATTGTATGTTGTTTTAAGTCCCATTCGAGAATTAATTTTCACCCATATAGAGACGTCACCATATACCGGTGAAGGGCTTCAAATTTTGACCTATACTCGGCAATTAGGGCCATTGAGCAGTGAGGGATCTTTATCGAACCAACGCCTGCCGTGACAAGGTGCCTCGGCTTTTAAGGTCTCATCCGAAGGACCCGCAACTTTCACTTCAAAGTGCCGAGCGCTTGGCGAAGGAACAGTTGCTACCCATTTTTTTATCGACTTAGGTCAGTCGCGGCCGAGATTCGAACTCACGACCTCCCGACGACGGAGCGAGCGCTGTACCGACTGATTGATAAGAACGAAGAAAATCATTATGAATTTTATATAGGGATACTTGTTGCAAACTCTAAGGGGTATCTGGAAAAACAACTCAAATAGACAGATGAAGAATTCTACTGATTATTGACATGCGCACTTCTTTTATCAAGTGAAGACCCTTTGGTAGCGGTGGTTGGATGGTAGGTTTTCGAATTTTTAAAGGATAAAAAAATAATATTAATGCTACAAGTAGGTTCTCAACGTAATTGTCTGAAGAATATACTATCGTATTAAACACATGTAGATGTCTTTCTGATTTGAAAGTTCAAAAATATTTGTTTATTTGTTTGTTTAACGTCCCTTTAAGATTTTTTCACTCATTGTGACGCCATCACTTCACTTGCCGGTGGAGGGCTGCAAATATAGACATTTACTCAGCACTTAAGGCCTTTGAGCAGTGAGGGATCTCTTTCGTGCCAACACCTACTGCGACACAGGACCTCGGTTTATATGGTCTCATCCGAAGGACTGATCTCCACGTCTCGCGTTGGGATTTGAACCCGCGACGTAAGAATCAACTCCTTTCTCTGCGATTCTACAGCAAACGCTCTAACTACTGCGCCACGCGGGAGACAAAGTTCAAAGTAAAAAAAAATTAATCCTAATTTCCCCTAGAAGCAATGAGAAAAACAGAAAGAAGGTTTCCAAAGCATATACTTTTCAAAAACTGTAAATGCCATTATACACGTGCAACTCTGATTAGCATTCTAAATCAAACTTGCAGTACTTTTAGGAAACTGCGCATTGCCTCTTTAAAGTATTTGCAAGTCAAAACATTTGGACTTTTGACAATCTTTAAAATAAACTCAAAGTTAGTGGATGATGTACGTTTCTATATTTGATTTATTAAATGTGTGAAGTTTGAACTAAAGATTACAATATTACATTATCTGAAATACTTGGAAAGAGCACATATGTAATTTGACAAGCATTTTTATTCCAGCTTGAAATATCGTTCATTTTACTTGATCAATTGTATAATACGATGAAAATACTTCTACCAAAAATAATAAATTCACTAAAAATTATTTTTGTCATAACCTTTTTACTAAAAAGTAAAAATTGAAAGAATTTATTATATATGATATGAAAATTAAATTCAATGGAAAGATGTAAAATGTGTTTTAATTTGTTTATTTAAAGTGCTTTTGCAAAAATATCCATGTAGTTTTTTAATACTCAAAAAAAGACATTGATTTTTTTTAAATTATTGACACCACAAACTATTGATCCAATTGACAACACTTTCCTATTTGAAGTGCTTTAGTTTCTTGGAGTTGTCATATTGAGTCCCTTCCTTTCGGTACAGGAATGTTGTCAGTATGAAATGGAGTAAATTGCACATGCCACCACATACTGAATGTTATTGCCATGTCTTTTTCACGTACGGAAGCAGTGGTATAAATTGTCTACACGTACATATGTAAATGCAGAATTTTCACTACAAGTGCAATGGTGAAATGTGACATATCCAGAATTCCCAGCAGGTCCAAGCTTGCCAGAGAGCTAAAGACTTCATGAAAAAAGGATTTCACATATAATTTGTCGCCGAGAGAGCGCAGAACAATAATTTCAACATCTGTTAAATCTGACATCAGATGCGATCAATAACTGTCTTCAAGTAAACACAATTGATGTCTCTTTGACAGGTGAAATTATAATTTACATGTTCTTACAGGCTTTTGAAATTAATTTGCTTAGTGTAATTAAAAACTCATAATGAAAACTGACTGCTCCAACTAAAATAAAATTGTCAAATTGACTTGCAGGCATGTCGCCTTAAGACAGATAAATAACAAACGCTGATGGCATTTATGAATTAACTACACTTAAGATTGTTTATAATTGACACAATGATGTAATTTGGCAGGATAAAGTGGCTCAAAGCTATTTTTTTATCTATTTAAACAAAATTTAAAAATATGTGTTCCTGGAGAAAAAGTGAAGCCCACATAAAATGAAATCTGTTCTCAAAACGTCTCTATGAGCCTATTACTAGAATACATTGTATATTACATTTATTTTATACTGATCAGAAAAAGAACCACTTACAAATAGCTTCTCTTCGGCTTTATTTTGAAATTATAAAAAAAAAATTATCAAAATATTATTTTGGCATAGTGACTTTTGTGTGTGGCTACCTGTGACCATAATTAATTACAATACAGGGTTTGGTTTCTGTTGCTAAAATATGGTAAATATAATGATAATGAATTTTAGAGATACTGACAAGGACTTCATGAAAAATAAATGAATCAATCTTAATTCAAACCTTTCCTAATTGTTTGCTATATCCATCAGGCTTTTCTTCATAAACAAATTATGTTTTTCTGAAAGTTGGAATCCCAATCTGTTTTCCTCTGGTTTAGAATCTGCGTCCAACATAATGCTGATATATTTTTACTGTATTCTTTAGCTAAACAATGTAACTTTGTCTTCTTACTGTAAGCAAAAATAACGATGACAAAGCTAGAAAGAACACTCAGGACAAAGATTTTCAAAAATGATGTGCTGTTTGGAGCGCTTAGACAAATACATATAGGATATGTTAAAAGTGACATCAGATGCCGTTCAGAAATTGTCTTGACCAAATGCAAACAAGGGCTTCATGACAAGTTAAGATATGTAAATTCTACATTACATGTACTTAACAGTCTTTTGAAAGAATCTTTGTGTAATTAAAATCTCATAATGAATACTGACACTTTGATAAAATGTATAACATAATGTTTCCTTCAGTTTAAATTATTTCCCATCTCTTAATGAGTTGAATCAATTGTGGTTTTTATCTGTAGAGAGCCAATTATATGAACCAGTAACATTTGATAGCCGCTAGATAAAAATGTGGAGAGGTTATTTTGATTTAACCTAATTTCTACAATGTTGGAAGAAAATATTTTCGACAAATAGCATGCTGAGCATAAATAAAAATAAAAGAAAAACTCTTAATTTGTAAATCATAACACATTCCTATCATTTAATGTTAAATTTATTCATCTGAAACACATGCTATTGCTTAAATTCAAAGGAAAGATAACATGTAACAACATAATCTTTGTTGTAAGGCTCATTATTTGAAATGTATTTTAGAGGAATTAGGATTTAATTCTATGGGTGGAAGTCCAACTTACACACATACCTCCCTTTCTAAGGAGACAATTCTTCAAAATCATATGTCCGTTTTAGATAATTTTAATATTCCCAACAATCAATATAAATTTGAATTACCATACCTTTACTGGATTCCTAAACTTCATAAAAATCCTTACAAACAAACGATACCTAGCGGGTTCCAGTAAGTGTTCTACCAAGCCTCTTTCTTTACTTCTCACTAAAATATTTACTTTAATGAAGGAGAAACGTCAGGAGTAATGTTCAACAGTATATTCGAGAAGTGATGTAATCAGATGTGGATACTAAAAAACTCCAAAGAACTTTTAGAAAATTTGAAATCACAAAATTTTACTAAAATCAATAGCATCAAAATGTACGACTTTTCCACACTTTATACAACCTTTCCCCACGATAAATTGAAGTCAAGGCTTTTTGACATCATAGACAGCTGCTTTTTCAATAAAAGTGGAACTCATAAATATACCTTGTCATTGGTCATTTACAAAATTATTTTGTTAAAAAAAACTCTGATTGTACACACAAGTACTCTGAAGTTGATATTAAAAAGATGCTTGAGTTTCTGATTGACAATATCTATGTAGTTTTTAAAGATCATGTCTTCTAACAATCTATTGGAATTCCCAAGGGTACCAATTGCGCCCCCTTATGAGCAGATCTAATTTTGTATTCATATATTGCAGAATGTATTCAAAAACTTCTACATGAGAAGAAGAAAACACTTGCTGTGGCCTTCAACTCGACATTTCGATCTATCGATGACGTATTATCAATTAACAATAATTACTTTCATTCATATGTCGACTCGATATATCCCAGTGAGCTTGAAAAAAAGATACCACAGATTCTGACACATCTGTTTCATATTTAGATATTTTGCTAGAAAAAGACGTTAATGGTAACCTAACAACAAAGCTTTATGATAAACGTGATGACTTCAACTTTTCAATCGTCAACTTCCCTTTTTTATGTAGAAATGTACCCTTATCATCTGCATATGGGGTTTATGTCTCTCAGTTGATTCGATACGCAAGAGCATACTCTACGTATGAACAATTTCTAAAACGAGGCAAGCTACTGACAAACAATTTGACGAAACAAGGATATCAACTGTCTCGTTTGAAGTCATCTTTTCGCAGGTTTTTCGGTCTATACAATGACCTTGTCAGCACATACAACCTGTCACTGAGTCAAATGCTGACTGACGTTTTTTATACTGATCGTTAGGCCATTATTTATACACTGAACTGTCTACGGATATTTCCGGTTTTTGTTTCCTGATTATGACAAGGAGCAGACGGCGGGTGTGACCGGTCGGCAGGGGATGCTCACTCCTCCATGGGACCTGATCCCACCTCTAAATTTTGAGGTCCGTGTTTGGTCTGTTCCAAATTCGTATCGTTTCATTGGACTATCGAGATTGAATACTGTTCATTATCTTCATATTTCATGTAGTTAATGCAATGAAGTATATACTTTTTAAAATACTGGTTATTTTTTCTTATTGATATAATATAGTGTTGCATATAATTAAAAATATAGAGGAATTTATTAATATTTTATTTTGTTTTTCAACAATATTTCAGCTCATTATAAATGCATTGCATGGGATTGAGAAGCAGCCTAACCTTATTGCAGTCCAACCACAATGTGTCATATAAAACATATATACATGTAATACCTTTATTGCGTAACGGATACGCAGTTGTAAGTAATTAAACCAACAGATATTGATCATATGACAAAATCTCCCACCTCTCTCTCTCTGTGTGTGTGTGTGTGTGTGTGTGTATGTGTGTGTGTGTATAGAGTATATTGTATGCTAGTTGTAATGAACGCTTGAAGACATTAATATGATCATCTGGTCAGAAAGCATATCAGCTCAGAAAGGGTATACCTAGGTCACATTTAAGCCGATGGTCGGGCGACCAAATTTTTCTCGCATCGTCGGTTGAAAAACATGACCCTCGTTCCTAGAAACAAAATCGGCCAACCGTCACCCGATCATCGTTTCCTGAGCTGCAGTTTGATTTTCACATTTTCGACATTAATGAAAACCCAATTCCTAAATGTCGACCGACCGACGACCGACTAAACAAACTGTCTACCGATGGTCGTACGATGATCAAAGGTTGGTCGACAGACTATTCAACGACGAATTCGAATGAAGAACCGGCCACCGACGCAGAAAAAATTATAACTTGGCTCAACGGACACAAAATTGGTCGGCCGACGAAAAAAAGAGGTCAAATGGGGGCAAGACAACGGTTGATGAACTGCCGAATTGTCGCCCGAAGAATCCTATTTTCAATTCCAAAACCGTTAAGTTGGCCGTCGGTCGTTTTTGGAAATGTGACTGGAGTTTTATACTTACATAGAGTCTTGAATTATCTTTCTTGTCACTTCAAATATTAAGCAATGCTTGACGGAAATACTTAATGATAGTGTTAAGTGAAAATCTGGTTTAAAAAGACTGTTTTAAATACTTGTATTTAATGGATTCTTTCAATGGGTAACACGAACACATGAGAAATTTAAGTCACACGGTTTAAACCTTTATTCTACATGCTGTGTGGAGCATTTGATCGTATGAGCATGAGTATGTGGTAAAATCTACAAAAATATTAACAAAGACTTACAAATACGATACGTTCGAAGTTGTATTCCCATATTTGGCGTCAGGCCAGAAAGACATTTTTAAGAACGACAAATGTGGGAAAAAAGAAAGAAAGAAAGGTTTTTAATGCTTTAGGTGATGCAGATACACACTTACTCAAAAGTTAGGGACCATCACTCTTCCTATGAAAATTCTTTAAACTTTTCATTCTCTTTCATCTTACCAATGTCTTATCTGCCTCGACCGAATGTTCCACCGCCTATGCTGTCGTGCCCATAGTAATCTCGCTTCTTTGTCTCTGGGATAAGAGTGGACGTTTTATTGGCCGACATGATCGCATCCGTTCCTTGTTTAGCTTCCTGTTATCTGTGCTTCTGCTGATTCGAGCTTGGGTGTTCCATTTGCTTCTCAGTGTGCTAGCAGTGTCAAGGACTCTATTTAGCTAGTCGTTTTAGAAATCTGTCTTCCCTCTCTGTAGTCTTTCGGGGTCTTCCAGATCTTTTAGCTTCTTCCACACCCCCAGTTCTTCTCCAGCGATGTACCAGACGCAAAATTACAGTCTGACTGACATTAAAGTGTTCGCCAACCCTTCTATACGTCATTCCAGTTCTTACCATTCCAATGGCCTGCCAGCGTTCAGCATCTGAAAGTTTCCGACGAGGCATGGTTGCACAAAACTTATAACATTTTTTTTCTATCAGTTAAGCTCATGCAAACATGGATGTGAATACAATTGAAAACTGCATTGTTTGAACACGCATTGGTGGCCTTGGAGAAACCGGTTTTACAAGTATTTGAATAGAGATATCGATGTAACATAAAAACAAATATTAAATATATGTTTGCATGATTGACTAGTAAATCTGAATATATTCGATAAAAAATATTTTTTTTTACTTGTAATTTTCATATCAAAGTGGGTGGTCCTTAACTTTTGAGTAAGTGTATATATGGATGAACTGACCAACATATGTTTTGCCACTATTTTCTGGAAGATTTCATAGTAATCATATTCAAGATGAACAAAACAGAACTTTCATGTTGCTCATCAGCAAAACGTGATGCTCGATTACATGTATATGATAATTGACCGTTTAATACATGTTAACTTAAGAAAGCTTTAACAAAAACCGTCTCCTTAATACAGAGAAATTTTCGTATTTACTGTAAAATTAATTATTTCCACGCCTTTAAGGTGATATGGGATACCAAACGAAACTTGTCCTACATATTTATTTACCAAAATTAGGAGGATTTGAAATACCCCCGACTTTCATTATGTTGAATTGTTATTTTGATAAGTTTTTTTAAATACTTCAATGACAAATACAAAAATGCTTTTTTTCTAGTATAATTTTTTTTCAAAAGCTTAATATTATACTCAAGAGTCTACTAATATAAAGAGTATATAAAAACAAAAATGACAAGAAATAAGTCTTAGTATATTTTTCATTTTCAACAAAAAACTTCATTTCCTGAAAACAGACGGATAACATTCCATTTGAAAGTATACAAATAAAATGCACCTTAATATATTAGCAAAGTGAAATATACAAATTAAAAAAAATATACATAAATGGAAAATATCAAATGCATTTAAAATTTTTGAATTAAAAGATCCGTACGGAAGAGTTATCCTGGGTGCTATTTCAGAAATTATGAGCATTTTTTCCCAAACTTAAAAAAAAATCGCACTCTTTTTCAGTTGTATTTTTCAACTATGAACTGTTTGGAAAACAATGCATGGACAATGTCTTTCCAAGAAGTGTCTCATTCAGAAGCAATTGTATTCATCTAAAAGTTTTTTGACTGAACAGTAAATTACAAAGAAGACCAGCTCTATTTAAGTACTATTGCACGTAAGAATCAGGCAGGTAGCACTAATTAGGCGGTACAGTGAAAATCTGCGAATTCATTAAAACTGTGTTTAATGTATTCATTTGGGTCTAAAATGAATGATGACTAATGATTTTGCTATAATTCTCCTTTCATCACACAGCCGGGGATAAGTTTCTCAAGGGGGGTGTTGTGTATAAATTGTATGTAAATAGTGCATATATCATGAAATAATTTCCTTAAAACCCAAGAGGATTTGGGAAAACTAAATACATGATTACAATAATGATGGAATATGGAAAGAAAAAGTACTTTAATATTTTTGTGCAAATGAATGATTGGAAAGATAAAGGGTTACTAAATCATGGAATTTGCTACAATTCATGGTAAGAGTTATCTCCCTTAGGAAGCTTATATAGGTGGCGCTAGTAAAAAGAACAATGGCAGCCTCCATGGCAGGCTGCTTGGCAAAGTTGTTTTGGAGCAACGTGCGTTATGTATTGCAAATATCTGAATGAATTGACATGAATTGCACTAAAGGACTGTACAAGAACAGAATCGTACATACGTGCACGTGTAAACGAAGTGAATAATCTGTTAAGAGAGACGATGACGGTGAGCTTGTATCAGCAACTTGTGTATAAAATTACTAGATCTGTGGAATTACTGTCCTCGTGATGATCAAGGTAATGCCAATTTGTTCATACTGATATCAGTATGGTCAATGTCGGAAGTTAAGCTTGCAAGGTCATCCACCAAAATCCAAAAGTGAGCCCCCAGACAGGGATGACCGTCCGAATGTGTCCGCTTACTCAACTTGGAAAGGGGAAGTAATGTATACTAGTTTTGAAAGAGGTGAGATTTGTTAATAAGCAGGGTAAATTGACAGTTATAAATGATTATTGATTACATTTTAATTATCTGTTAAACAGTAAATTATATTTATTGGGGTGGCCAGTTCATGATGTGTAATTTAAAATGTGACATCATAAGCTTAGTAATTGTTCTTATGTACAATCACTGTAAAACTTGGCCAGATTAAAGGGATTTGAGGGGAATGTAATAAATTTTATAGGTTTTATTTTTTATTTTTAATTAAATGTCTTAAACTTTTCTCTTTTAAAATTCCAGGTGTACTCAATGTATAACCAGCTGATAACCAAGTGACTGAAACAGAAGAGTCTGTATCTCATAGTCATTGCCTCAGTTGACCTGAACTAGAAGATGTCAAAACATTTCAGTGGTAAGGGTCAGTCTGTTTTGTATGCAGAGACACTGCACATGTGCTTAAACTGTCCACACCAAAGCTGCTAAAATATAAGGCCCTCTGTTTTAATTATACAATACATGTGGCATTTGTACATTAGTATGAACATTCAGTGGGATATAATTGATTAAAAAAAAAAAAACAAATATGTATATAAAATAACAGCACACCAAAATTTTTCATCAGCACTGATGTCAAAATTTGGCCAGCCAGCATCACATTTAACCCCCCCCCCCCCCCCCCACACACACACACACACACACCACCATCACCACCAGCCACAATGTTTTGTGTTCTTTAGCCATTTAAAGATGGCCATTGAAAATGACTAATATATACCTGACCTAAGCATGAACAGAAAAAAAAATACATATAACTGTGATATCAAATCATAACAGGTTGTAAACAATTAAACACGATAAAGATATTTTGTTCAGAAGAAATGCTTTTAACTTTTTTTTCTTTAAAAATTACAATAATTAATGATAGAATATCAATAGATATACATGTATACTGAAAATTCAGAACCGGTTATTGCTGACTTACATTTTACTGACATTACTAAGGTTTTTATCAAGCTAGTCTCTTTGAAACAGTCTAATGTGGTTTGTATATCATATTCATTAGAATCAGGGTTGTTAAATTGATGTATTAAATTTTTGTTTTTACATGTACATGTTTTTATGTCCCGCCATGAATATAGCATATAGTGTTTGTCATGTCCATCTTCCATCCTTCAGTCTGTCCTTCCATAACATTTTGTGTTTATCTCAGTTTGAAAGAAACTATTCCAGATATTTTTATAAAACTTCATATGCTAATGCATATATATTGAATTATTGATAAAAGCTATTCAACTGCATCACCATTTTTTTGACCTTGACCTTTGCTTTGACATTGACCTCACTTCTTAAATAAGTGTTTAGTTCAGTTTCAAAAAAAAAACCTTTAAGATATTTTCATCAAACTTCATATGCTGAAACATATAGATATATTCAGTTCAACTGCATCAACATATTTATACCTTGACCTTAACTTCACATTCCTTTAAATAATGTTGAGCTCAGTTTCATAGAAACTATTCAAGATATTTTTACGAAAGCTTAAACGCTGATGCATATTGGTGAGAGCTATTCAATTTCATCAATATTTTTTACATTGCCCTTTCCTTACCTTTGACCTTGCAGACTTCACTTTTCTTAAATTTATTTTAAGTTTCAATGAAACCATTCAATATGTTCAAGACATTTTTAATTGAACTTACTATGCTGATACATAATTGATGTAAGCCATTCAACTTCATTTTTTACCTTGACCTTTATTTTGACCTTGAGCTATTCAAAGGGGAAGAAAATAGGGTGAAGTCTAAAAAATCTTTTTCTCATTAGGCTGTTCCAAGTTTTTTCTGTGTTTAGCGTCCACCCATCTTTCAAATACCTACCTACCTATTTGCAAAAAACACACAAACAAAAAATAAAGCACAAGACTTCATAGTCATAAAAATGACGCTTTTCAAAGGATTGATTCCATTAATCTATTTTTCTCGTAGAAATATCTATTCTTCAGCAAAATCAAGGTATTAATTAAAAGGACTTATCGCATGATTTTTCAAAAATCTTAATTTTATGAAAAATATTATCTACAACCTTGTTTATTAAAATTCTGAATACAATAAACGTTGTTGAAAGCGTATTTTAAGAGATATTGAGAGTTGAAATTCAAATATGGCAATATGCATATTTCAGTCGGATTTCGGCGAAATACTGCTCTGACGTCATAGGCGACAATTCAGTGATAGAGAGATGATAGTTGCACACTATTTGTGGAGTTATCAACGACAAATGCAGCTTAATTATGAAAAATGCTGAAAAAATTAATTCCTAACATGATTTCCAATTACTGTAGAAACATTTACTAGTTTTAAGGTGTAAGAATTTTGAGATATTTTCGTTTTTTATTCGAAACATTTAGAATCTGTAGGTCTGATTACGGCAATGTTTCGTGATCGGAAAATTATTTTTCAAGACCACCATCCTTTACAAAACATACAAAGGCATACTTGCATAAATTAATATTATGTTAAAAATGAAGAATAATAAAGTTATGTAATTTAAATTTGTGAATCAAATAAGTTCATACATGTGATAAAATGACAAATCAAATTGTATTGTTATGGCGAGTTTCTTCGTCTTCGCCACGTCTCCCTCGCTATCGTCGCTGTATTTTTACAATGTTAACGGATTTTTTCAGATTATTTCTTGCTGACAATTCTAAAATATAAGGTTGGATATTAAATTTCATATCGATAAAATCAGTGATTTGGTCATCCATAACATAGAAAATTCAGGTTGTATCGCGTATATTTTAGTAAGATTTACGTGAAGAGCTGATCAGCCATTGTCACCTTTGACGTCACAGGGTCACGTGATCGCTATCTAATTAACTTAGATTTTTAATTCAGGGGTTTTCATTTTAGTCAATAATTGCTTAATTACTGCGGTTTATCCGCAGTAAAAACACAAAATTAATAAACTGTGGTCATAAGGAACGTTTTACGCTTTTAATTTCAAATAGTTTAGAAACATGCGATAAGTCCTTTAAATGCTTACAATATTCAAAATATGACATTTTGTAGACAAATACTTTGAGAAATTGACAGAATTCAGTGATTTTGACCAGAATAAACAATTTCAGGACTCCTGATTTTGTTTGTTTTTTCTGATATGGGGTGTCAAAAAACCAAGGCTCACGCGGAAGCTAAACATAGAAAAAACTTGGAATGGTCTTAACCAACAGAATTTTCCTCACCTGAGCTAAAAGCTCATGCTTATCAAATCACTTGTTATTCATTGTCTATCCATCTTCCTATCTCCTTGTAAGCTTTTCACATTCCTTATTATTCTCCAGAACATCTGCACCAATTTAAATAAACTGGGCACCAAGAATGGCATATGTGAAGGGAATTAAAAAGGAGAGAGCATCGTAGAAATCACATTGTACATCCATCTGTCAGTTTGTCATCACTTTTGTTGTTGCAAGATTCAACATTATGCTTTCAGATTTGTACAGAATTCCTTTATTGTAAGAAAACAAAAACACATTCAAGGGTTATTTCACTTTGTCTGTCTGTCTGCATGTATGTCCAAAAGTATTTTCATTGACACTTTTGTTGTGATGCAATAACTCAGTTTTTAGCTCTACTGGTCAGAAACCAGAAGAGCTTATGCGATAGTAAGGTGACCGTTGTCCATCTGTCTGTCTGTCTGTCCGTCTGTCAAATTGTAAACAATTTTTCAAATCACTACTCCTCCTACAGTTTTGGTCTGGTTTCAGTATAACTTGGCACATGAGTAGACTACACTAAGATACATAATTAAGTGCATTGTTATTTCTATTTCAATGAACGGTGTTGCCAAGGTCACTGAAAATAGAAATTTCTGTAAAATTCCTTTAAAACGCTACTCCTCCTACAGTTTTGGTCTGATTTCAATATAACTTGGCTCAAAAGTAGACTAAGATACATAATTTAGTGCATTGGTTTTTGATTTCGATGAATGGTGTTGCCATGGTTACTGAAAATAGAAATTTCTGTGAAATACTTTCAAAATGCTACTCCTACAGTTTTTGTTTGATTTCAATATGACTTGGCACATAAGTAGACTACATTAAGATACATAATTCTATTTATTGCTGCTTGTTGCAAAGTTTCAAATCCGAGTGCTACTTTTCGTTTGCTATGCATAAAGACCAGTAGAGCTACAGTCTCATCAGAGACTTCTGGTTAACATAACATTTTTTAAATTTTATACAGAAGCTCTTTACTGTAAGAGAAAATCACCTATACATTTTGGGGTCACATCGCTTAGTCTGTTTTGTCTGTATGTACATTCAAATACATATCCATTGACACCTTTGCTACATATATGAAATGATAACTCAAGCAGTTTTTAATGAATTGTTTTCAAATATCACTGAAGTACTTAATTGTAGAGAAAAGCATTACTTGGTCATGCAGGTCTGTTTATATGTATGTTTGAATATTTGCTGTGACCCGATAAGTCAAACAGGTTTCATCATTTCTATTTAAATTAGTTTTTCATTGTTCTTAATTGATTCAGATGTGACAAAGCTTTGCAAGCTGAATATCAGTCCCATAATAAAATGAATACTGACTATTTTAAACTTCAATTTTGATTGAAGAAATTGCATGTGTATTTAAATTTAACCTTTAATACCTTTATATCATTTCTTTGGTGATAATTGATTAACTTATCAGTTACCATTTCAGAAATCTCAGGAAATGAAATCATCACAGCTATCACAAAACAAAGACTGGAGTTCAGAGAAAGAGTTCAACACTTTGGATAAAATTAATGAGGCAGTGACTTTCATCTTCCATGAATCTGTAAGCACTTAAGACTACAGTTTTATCATGTTTATGTTTCAGTATAAGAAACTACTAAACAAAGGACAGTCGTTGACTACAAAAGAAAACCTGGGTAACATGATTGCCAAATTCCAAGGTTTAAAATTAAAAGATTTATTTTTCATGAATTCACCTATGTTTAGATTTTTTGACTATGAAATCATTTGGGTATAAGATCAATTTGAATGGCAAACGAGCAGACGACTTGGTAATGATAGGATCATGTGTGAAAAATATCACTCAAATTGTGAATATTTACTAGTTATTGTGTTTTTGGTGTGGATGGAAATGTATAACAAAAAGGATAACAAAAAATAATTATCTGTGTATAAATAAAAAACAAGTTTTATATTATACAATTAAGTTAGTTCAATGATTTATTTACGTGAAGAGTACATTATACTCTGACCTCAAAAACAGCCTGAGATATTTAACATTTTCATGTTTTAGAACTTTGGGATTATCTCCCCTTTTCAGTTAAATTAGAACATAATTTACAAATTATATATGTTATAAATAGAGATTGTTCTATCTGACGTATCCGTATACATATCCGTATACGTATCGAGGTGAGAGAGGCATCTCGATCCCGATGATTTAACCGTTGGGTAACATTTCCATCGTTTCTTGTTTGATTTTAACCTCATTCATTGGAAAATAAGATATATAGTAATATTTCTACTAAGACGTATCAAGTTGCTGTTCACACCTATCATTTTATGGAAGGATTTTAAAAAAAAAATAAAATTAGTAAAAAAGTAAGTATATTTTTATTGATTTGTTTAAAAATAAAAAAAGGTTCAAAAAGGGACTCCCCCCCCCCCCCCCCCCCTCTCTCTCTCACTCAATATCAGGATATATTATTGTTTCATTCTCGAAGTAACCTTTACCAGTACAAGACATATTCCCCATAATGCATACAGTCAACGCTCGTTATCTCAACTTGATTGGACCATTTCAAACTTCGGTATATCCAAGGGTTTGAGTTAACAAAGTTTAACTGTACGAGTTGTCAGAGATCAAACATTCTAGATGAGTATAAGTTTGTATACATCAAGAAGACACTTAAAATTGATTAACAAAGTGGAGAAGGTGGAAGCTAAGCCAAGGCATGGAGAAACCAAAAAATACCAAGTCACCTTTGCAAAACTTTGACAAAAAAAGGTGTAGAAATTAATCAAACCTTTAAAAAACCTATTACTGGGAATGTGTGTGTGGGGGGGGGGGGTATGGATATTAAGTCCTGAGTTTCTCTTTTCCACAAAAATAATTACGGATACATTAACTGTGAAAGATTAAATTGACCATACTGCATACTCTGTGTGAGTGTGTGTGGGGGGGGGGGGGGTGTCACTGAAAACTTCCATCCTTATTTTCTTATTATCATTATCAAAATTCTGTATATCATTTGATTATATTTGATGGACATAGTTCTTCAGAAAAGCTTTGGAAAGCTGGCAATTCTGGGGTGGTTTGAAGACCCTAAATTCCCTAAATTGTTAGGTTATAGCCGTATCCGATATTCCAGAGAGCTTGAGGAAGACTACCATTTCCGAAAGTGATGCAATTACACGCAGTTTTTGTCGGGGATGAATTAACAATTGTCGATAAAAGGAGAAAATTTTTTATGTCTTATACATTACTTTATATACATGTTGACTAAAGTTTACTTAATGATTTATTTATTGAAATTAAGATGACTGTAATTCTTTGTGTACAAGAGGGATCAAAACTCTGAAAAAATGCTGACATTTTATCAATTAAATGTTTTGTATAAATTTTATCCTTTATTCTGTGTTTTTTATTTTTCTGCTACGTTGAAGCAGCCTCTTCTCTTCAATTCTGTAAACTGCGTGTTGAATTGACTCACACTTTTGGGCCAAAATGCATAAATAAATAAATAAAAATAAATGAATAGATAAATAAAAATCAGCTGGAAGGACAAGGTAGCATAGAAGAAATAGATAAATCTATTGTTTTGGCATTTTTTAGCCTAATAATTCTTTTCTTTCTTATAAAAAGAAAGTTAAGATAATGAATACCCTATTCTGAAACAGTTTCTATATCAAACCATGAATTATAATACGCATGTACGACAACAAGAGAACTAAAAGGAAAAATCAAATTTAACAATTGCATTTTCATTTCATTACCTATTTTTTTGTCGCCATGAAGTCTTTTCAAGTTTATACTGCTGAAAGGACAAAATATAAAGCAAAATCAAGCCGTATGAGAATAGGCACGAAAGTAGCAATTTCAACTCGGGAGAGGAAGGGGAGACATACAGGAATATGTCAATTAGTTCATTGAAAAAAAAATGAATGAAGAAAGTTAACAGACGCTATGAAAGTATATGCTTAAAAATGCCAGTTCAACCCCCCCCCCCCTCCCCCCTGGGAAGGGGGTGATGAACTGGCATTTTTAAGCATATACTGGTAAGGGTCTGGAAGCTAATTCTCTTTAGAAAACGGCTACACGGTTTTATTGATTGTGTGGATACAACGTCTTTTGCATTTTACTGTGTGTGTGTGTGAGTTGGCGGGGGTGGGGGGTTAATTTTATGTCATCTAATGTAAATTACAGAATCAATCAATAAAATGCCTGATGTTAAAGGAGAGAGAGGGGGATCCCGATAAATGTTTTTAAACAAAATTGCAATTAAAGTTTTAAATAATATAATGAAAACAAATACATCTATTTTTTTAAGAAATTTTCCAGCGAAATGATAGACGTTTACAGCAGCTTAATACATTTTTTATTAGAAAAAAAATATTATATGCTATTCTTAAATGAATGGGGCTGCTTTAAAACCAAACAAATAATGATGGAAATTATAGTAAATAGTTTAGACATCGGGATCGAGATGCCTCCCTCACCTCGATACGTATACGGATACGTATACGGATACGTCAGAAAGAACAATCTCTAATTACATGTAGAACACTGGATATCAAAATATTATATTGATTAATTGTAAAAAGCAAATAGTTTTACTGTATTTGAAATTGCAAATTTAAAAAAAATTGTTTTGAAATATCAAATTAATTTTACATGCACGCATCTACGGCATATTCTGGACTTTTACAAAAATAGTGAAATTGCTCTTTTTTGTTTGAAACTTACCCATATTTTTCAGATATAAATAATAATTTACACAAAAATGTTTTATTCTTTTATAAACCATAGGGTATGATGTCTATGAAAATAACATAGCCTTTTGAGTTGGATGTTCAGTTCTTATATTTTTTTAAAAGCTGAAAATCCTCAAAAAATCGGTATTTTCATGTTTTTTTCAAATTTGGATTATCTCCCTTTTTCAGTGAAAAATTAGAAATTTTTCCTGGATATGGAAATATTTTGATTAATTGTGAAAAGTTACTTGTGTTGTTGTGTTTTGAAAATAAAAAGAAATTGTTTTGAAATGTCATATTCATTTCACTTGTATACATCTATGGCATATACTGGACTTTGACAAAAATAGTGAAATTGCTCTTTTTTTGTATGAAACTCATCCATAATTTTCGGATATTAATAATAATTTGCACAAAAATGTTTTTATACTTTTATTAGCCACAGGGTATGATGTCTATGAAAATAGCACAGTCTTTTGATTTGGCTGTAGGGTTTTTATATTTTTTAATAGACGAAAATCCTCAAAAAATGGATATTTTCAAGTTTTTGCAAATTTGAATTATCTCCCCTTTTCAGTGTAAAATTAAAACATCTTACTGGACATAAAAATATTTTGATTTATTGTGACAAGTAACTAGTTGAGCTGTATTTGAATGAGCAATAAATATAATTGTGATTTCTTTTTTGATTTTCTTTTTCTTTCAACTTAAATATTGGCAATTTTGCAAATTTTTAGAGGAAATTTCGGCCATAACATGCTGCAAACAGTGTTTCTGTTGCCATGGAAACCAGACACTGATTTGATAAAAAATATTTTATTTTAGGAAGTTACTAAGCATACTCTACCAGCATGCGAAGTTTAAAAAAAATTGGAAACCCTTCATGTGCCGCCCCCTGCCTGATTCTTACGTGGAATAGTACTTAACGTAATTCAGCACAATATGAAGTAATCACACTTCTCTATGCCTCGTCGCACACAAGGGGAAGCATAGTTACTCAAACAATTAAAATACGGTTTTTGCTTGAAATAATCAAAAGCAGAGATGATTAAACTATCCTTTACAGGTTTTGCTTTTTTTTAATGTTTATAGTACAATTATAAGTAAATTTATATACTGTGAATGTTTTTGTCTTTTTTTAACTAAAATGCCGACTTTTGAGAACTTGCATTGAAAAAGCTTCAGAGTGTTCTATTCAACGGTGTATCTACAAATTTTGACCCGATTATAAGCACTCATGCAAATTAAAACAATACTTCAAACGGAAATACGTCAGAACTTGGAGGTATCCCATACTACCTTAAGTAAATATGATAATTCGTGAGCAAGAACATATCTTTTTTTTCACAAAGTAATTTGAAAAACGAACTCATGTTGGAAAGAAAGTTGAAATTTTTTTTCAATTTCATCATGACTGAAACGCTCATTAACTCCTCAACTTACAGACTTCGTAATATCTTGGAGAAAATGAATGGGTAAAAACCCTTATTTATATCTGAATGACAAGGAATATTATATTAAATAATGAAATGCTTAGACTTAAGACTTTGAAAACATTCATTTAGAAATATTAATTAAGCTCTGTATTTTCATACTCTCACTATAAAGAGGGTGAGGGTGCAAAAATACTTTGGTAATTGTAAATCTTATTTAAGATGCATGGGTGGCTACTCAGGGAAGATTGCAGTTGGATATGTTTGTTCTACCCGTAGACCCCTCAATACGCTATCTCGGTAACCATTATCGTCTTTTGTTTTACAAGAATCCCATGATGCGACAACACTAACACAAGTACTATTAGCCCTGATGTTTTTCAGAAGATTTTAAAAGTTTTCTCATTTATATTTCCACGAAAATTGTGACCTTATATTGTGGTCCGATGTTATTAAAAGGGTCTCTAAATCCACATGGGGACGCTGAAGTATCAATATGTAAAAGATGAAGAACAGTGATCAATCTCGTTGAACCCATAAACAAAAGAATCGTCAACAGGATAAAAACACAGACCCCTGGAAAATCCAGGAGTGGGATCAGGTGCCTAGGAGAAGTCCCCTGAAAGCATCCCCTGTCGACCGGTCACACCCACCGTCAGCTCTATGAATTAATCAGGTATTAGTAGTAATCCGTAGTCTAATTCAGTGTAAAAGTAATGAACTAACAAATGGTATGAAACGTCAGACAAAAAAAGATCCAACGATAGGTTGTAGTTACTACAAGCAAGGTCATTTTAACTAAAGTAGAATCTGCAAAACGCTGACTTTAAACACGATTGTTGAAATCCTTGTAACATCAACTTGTTTGTCAGTAGCTTGCCTCGGTTTCAAAATTGATCATTCTCAGAGCATGCCATTGCATGCCATTGAATCAGTTGGGAGAATAAACACCATATGAAGATGCATATGGTGTTGGAATATCATATAAATAAGGGAAGATAATGGAAAAGCTGAAATCCCGTTTCTCATACAGTTTAATTATCAGTTGGCCATTATCGTCTATAATCATTAAAAATATGACACAGATGTCAGACTGTGGTATCTTTTATTTTGAGTTCACTTGGATATATAGAGTGTACATATTAATGAAAGTAATTTGTTAACTGATAAAACGCCGTTGATATATCTTAATGTTGAATTGAAGGTCACAGCAAGAGCTTGGTTCTTCTCATGAAGAAGATTGTTGAATAAATTCTGCTTTATAGGAATTTAAATACAGGTCGTCTGATAATGGAACACAATTACATGTAGTGCCCATCGAAATTACCCAGATTGTAGGAGATGTGGTCTCTAAAGACTACATGGAAATTGTCAAGAAAGAAGTCTGGCATCTTTTCAGTATCAAATATTTACATCCACTAAATATTGTTTCCTTTACTTCTTAAAGATATACATGCTATAACTTGCGTCAGTTAAAGATAAAGTTGGAAATTCATTTATTTTGTTTACCAAATAAAGTTACGAAAATATTGTAAATTACACAATTGGAAATGAACGCATTATAAAGATCTCAAATTGTAATTATTCATTATCCTACTAGGACAGTAATGCCTTTATTTAAATTCATACATCATGTGACACCGTCGCTACTTTTAGATTGATAAACAAAAATGGCGTCAAGAAAACGAGGTAGGCCGTTTGGTATACAAAATAACTTTTGACATGGATGGCATACGTTTTATGCTTAAAGATACTTATCTTTTAAACAACAAGTATTAATCATCTACTCTGTTATGACATATATTAACGTTTATTCAAAATCGTAGTCAAAATGCAACGTACCTTGTTGTCTATGATTTCCCGCTGACATGCGTGTCTATATACTGTTTACGCACTTCCTTCATCTATATTCATGAATAGACTGAATTCTTAATTGCAGATCTTGCCTAATTGTTTTGTAATTACAACGACTTATTTAGTAAAACTTTGTGGAAAGTAATTATTTTTTATTACACATCATGTTTCTCAAATCATTTAGCCATTTTGTTTCACATAAAAAATTGCGTTTACATAGCGTGTATATCTCTAAGAAAACCAATGCCGTTTATCAGTCAGTAAACACCGCTTAGCGTATCGGCTCTACAGATTTCTTGAGCAGTGGCTGTTCCATCAATGACAAATATATCAATCATACAATATTTCATCTACTAAATCCTACTTCAAATGTTTATTTGTACAGATATAAATATAAATATTAAATTTCTTTCTTTCTTTGTTAGTACGGGAATTAACGTAGCAGCTTACGCGGGTTATGCATTTTTTCTGCAACAGCTGCAACATTAATTCCCGTACTAACAACCAAAGAAAGCAGTTGAGCAGTTCAGACGTCATAGCTTAGCAGCTGTGAGATTGAAAACATTGTAACATGGATTTAAGCAACATATTTGGGAAGAAATTGGCAGTTTAATCTCTATCAAGATGGTTTAGCTACTATCTCTATCTTATTACAGGCCAGAAATTAGAATATTTTTTACTTACTTTGATATTCTTTCACACTGTGAGAGAATATCACTTTTATTCAATAAATAAATCTCATTATTTCACTTTGAAAATGTAATAAATAGAATTATATAATTTTTTGCAATGTAATTTCATATAACAAAATATGAAAACTGACGAATGTCACATTTATATTTTATTGAGAAAGAAGTTGTCTATGATGTCAAAAGCCTGATCTTTAATATATCTTGAGGAAAGGTTGTATAAAGCGTAGAAAATTCATATGTTTTGATGCTACTAATTAATGTTTGAAAGGTTTTTGGGATGCTAAATTTTTAAAATCTTCTGTGGATATTTTAGAATCCACACTTTATTTACACCACTTATTGAATATTTTATAGCACAATGCGTTTGAAGTTTCTCCTTCAAAGCAGTTGGTATTTTGGTGAGGAGTAAGGACAGGGCTTGGTTGAACATTTACTGAACGCTGTAAAATATCTTTGTAAGGATTTTTATGATGTATTAAAATCCAGTATAGGTTAGGGTTAATCAAACTCACTTCCATTGACTGGAATGTTTGAAGTATTTAAATTGCAATTAAGGTGATTTTTAAGAATTTCATCTTTTAAAAGTGAATTGTGAGTATAAGTTGGATTACTAGATGTGGATTTAAAACCGAGTTCTAAAATGCAGTTGAAATAATGAACCTTACAAAGACTTATTGTTAAAAACTTTGTCAGCTGGAACCGAAAATATATTCTTCAGGTATTTTCAACGCTAAAATCCAACAAACATTTTGTCTACAAAATGTCTAGAATAAATGAAATTTTCAAAGGTGTTATGTTCTTTTTTCAATATGTGAACAACTTAGCCCTCATTTTCGTGTCTGAATGGTTGGCCCAAGGGGCATCATTTTCATAATTTTTGTTAAGGATTAGCTACTTATAGTTATCATGCAAGCAGTTTGTCTGATACATGTCTATAGGTAAAGACATTTTCAAATTTGTAATATATTTTTCAATGGATGACCAACTCTGCTGCACCCTTGGGCCTGAACAATGAGACAGTGGGCCTCGAATTTTCCAATGTTATGTTAAAGGACTGTGCACTTCTATCAAATTTAGATGTCGACAGTTATGCAGTAGCGATGCATTTGTGAGCACATTCTTCAAGCCTGTTATAACAAATACTGTAAAATCACTTATTTTCGTGGGGTCAAATTTTCGTGGTTAGAGGAAAAATTACTGACTTTCATTCCGAGAATAAGAATGGAAATTTCGTGTTCAGACAGTTTTTTTCAATATGTAGATATTCACTTCAACGAGGGAAATTGTGTGCCCTTTTTTCTCCATCATGATAATCTTTTGTTAACATTTGGTTAACTTCTCTGGCGTTTTGCCATGCATCTAATATACAACATTGTGATCACCTTTTCATTTAACTTTACTATAGACATCAATATACATGTATATGTCCTTACTTCTTATTGTTATTTGTCTTAAAAATTCTGAGAGTAAAATTGTTTGTAAAATAATCATGCATTAAAGTATACGCTACAATTCAGACTCCATAAAGACAATCACTTCCTGAGATTATCACAGTTTGGTACTCTGTCATATTTTCAGCTGTCTTTCTGCATTTCTGATCTTCTATGCGGTTGAAATTAATTCATGTAACTTGTACACAGCCACAAATGAATTATGTTAATTTGTTTACCTTTTTTACTTCATTTAATTTAAGACCATTTAAAGAATCTTCAATATCATGTCATATTAACTTCTTTCAAATGTTATCCACATGCATGTACTGAACATCCCACTTGTATTCCTGTTGCTTGGGATACAAACAATAAATATGTTTACAGAAATGTTGTTTACCTTTTCATATTCATTTTAAATATGGTGATGAAGAAAAGAAAATTTGGATCAATTTTAAAAGACAAATTTTTATTCAAATATTGAAGCATTTCATGTTTTTGACACCAAGACAAAGCTTGTTTTTCCTCGATTTATTTCTTCACGTCTATGCGAGCATGATTGCAGCTTCCCCGACACCATGTCGGACAGCTAGACCCTCTTTTACAGAGAATTTTAGACATCCTGTTGGCAAAGTCGTGGCAGTTGTTGGTAAATAATCCGTAACTACCATATTGACATCTGTAGTTTCTGGCGCATCCCTCAATGCAACTCAAGCTAACTGTGCTGTAGCCTGCTGGGGAACCCTCCCTTCCCCCACTGCACCTATGTCCCTCTAGTCTTCTATTTGAAATCACAACCACTGATTTACCTTTTAAAAAATCAGAAAAATTACGACACAATGGGATGTTCTTTTGAACTGTGTTTTTGAAATTATATTAGATTATACAATTCATATATTAAATCTAACTTTCTAAGCTCAGACAATTGCAAGAATATTCCAAAAGAATATCTATCTCTTAAGATTAAAAAAAGACATTTGAATCTTGTTACATTTAAAAAGACTAAATTATTAATGTACAAGTTACTTGCATTTTACATTACAGCCAAACCTATGAAGGGAATTTCTAAAAATGGTCACTTTCGAGAGGTAGTCTCATTAAGTAGGGAATTTTCGAAGTTCATGCATAACTACTTATTAAATATAGTAGTTCATATTCTTTGGTAAACCATGACCCACTGTTGTGGCCCCGCCCTACCCCAAGGAGTCATGATTTGAACAAAATCGAATCTACACTGCCTGAGGACACTTCTGTATTAATATGTCTAATAATAGCATCTATTTAATAATATAAAATAGATGCATTTATAAATATATATATGAATATATATATAATTTAAAAATAGAATTACTCTTACCCCCCATGCATCAGGATCGAAATTCGAACCTCGGATTTTTTACACTGCCTGAGGACACTTCTGTATTAATATGTCTAATAATGACTTAGCTGTTCTTGAGAAGATTCTTGATAAATAAAATGTTTTCATCAGATATTTTTACAAATTGTTTTATTCCTAATTAAGTTAAGCATAACTTAAGTGTTTAAATCCAAAACCGACTTGTTTTTGTCATGTTTTACCTGAATACGGGTAAAATATCATAAATAATTCTCGATAGGAAGTTTAACGGTCATATATGTATGACAGGAAGTTGTTAATTGAATTCGAATTGTCACTATATATGATAGGTTTGACTGTAAATCACTTGAAAATGGTAAGCTTGCAGTTGAAAACGTTGAAGTTTTAAATTTGTTACAAACCAATAAAATCAAAGTATTTTCCCCTGTAGTAAATGAATCGATGAATGTAGGATAACCGTCCCCTCGTAGGTGCGCCTCGTTTGCCCTTTTTACTACTGATACAGTTCAGGTTTGTTGTGCCAAAATAGTATGGGGAGGCTCCATCTGTGGTCATAAAATACATATAAAAATTCAGTCATAATTATATTTATCTTACGCATTTGTATAATTTGTCTTGTCTTGAGGAAAATAATTTAAAAATATTTTGCAACTTTAAATGACATCATTTATGAATTTAAAAAAAAAAAAAAAAAAAAAAAAACACAAGTAAGATATTATGTGTAAGTTAAATTTACATCTTGCTGGACATCCTCTGCTATTGCCGTTCCTGCCCCACCATCTCCTCACCCACCAAGCATCCGCTTGGAGGAATAATACACAAATGACGATGAAAATCTAAGGAACAGATAAAATGAGATTATACTGAGACATATTTAATAATGATATTGTAGAAAAGTATTTTTATTTAAATCATGTATTGATTTATGTTCACCTCCACAATTTTATGAACAATAAGAAGTAATACATTTTACTTGTATTTTATGAGTACTTTTTATTATTATTAAAATCGCTAGAGTTATTTATGAAAAATCGCTGATATTCTCCCAAAACTTAAGTAAGAAAGTTGAAATAATTGTTTTTAGTCATATCCAGTAAAAAGTATTTCATAAACTCGAAAGATAACAAAATTTAACGTATTAGAAAAAAATCTTTCGGAAATTCAAATACTTATCCTTGTACATAATGTAAGACCCCTCCTCCTTTTTGAAAGAAAAAAAAAATACTTAAGAAAAATATTTAAATTTACATTAATAAATTAATGATGTTAAAAGTAAAAATTATTAATTATGAAAGTGTTTACTGCAAATCGAATGAAATTTGTAAAACAAAATATACGTATGTGATTTTAATTATCACTCTTTAAAACGAACTGCATGTATAGATCTTTAAAAGGAAATTAGGGAGTTTTATTTTCTCCTTTTAAATAATAGAACTTTTGTTTATAGAATTGTCGTTCTTATTTATCATCTAAAAAACTATTTTCTTGAAATCATAAAGAAGTGTATTGAATTTAACATCAAATAGAAAAAAGGACATACCAATGAAAACTGCATCTCATTTCATAAAGGGATGTACTGCATACGTTGGTATAAGATTATATATAGTGTCATTAGTAATAAAATACCTGTGTGTCTGATATAGAAGGTAAGTGTTCCACGCAGACTTCCCTCACGAAAACAATGGAAACTTTCATATTTGAGTTAACAAAATAACTCAAAATTAAATTCCAATTGAAATTAATCAAAGAAGTGAAATATTTTCAATAATGCAAACATGAATTTGTATTTTTTCTTCATAGAACACAACATTTTATTTAGTTATGAAACATCTTTTCGACAAACTCTTACTATAACAATTTGTTGTATAAGCGTGACAAGATTGTACACCCTATATAAGTATTATCTATAAAATATTTAGAAAGTATGACTATGTAACGATTTTTTAAAACACCAACTGCAGCATCTGTTCGTTTTTAAATAATCGTTTGAATTAAAACAAATCTAGTGGTATTTTAAAAAACACACACAATATTTTAGAAGTAAGAGTTAAGAAATTATTGAATATCCTTATCATTTAAAACATAGAAGCCTTGATTTTAATGGATTAGATTTTCAGTATAGATTTCAGTTTTATTATTATGAGAACAAAAATATCTGTGACTTTCTGTACAAAATAAGCGCAAACTTATTTTATATAAAAATGAATAAGAAAACATATAATGATATTTATTGAACAAATTGATCAGTATAGAAGCCCCACCTCGTAAGCTTAATTACGGCTTTGCAAACAAATGAGGTATTTCCTGTGAACGATGAGTTTAGTATAACCAATATAAATTAATATATTCAGTATAATAAATTGCTTTCAAGAATTTACCTAATACGAAGTCACACCTTATTTAGATCATTCCTCAGTTCAATATTGTACGATTTTTACAGAAGTATAAAACTAAACATAGAACTTAAAAATTTTAAAACAACCCAATATCACAAATACATTTTAGAAACAAAAGTTGTAATCAAAATTGATAAATTAATGTTAAATCATTCTAAAAAGAATGTCACTGGAAATAATTTTCAAAATCATGTTTAAAATGCAAGAAATGAATTTTCATAATAATATTTAATCACTACTATAATTTTACGGATATTCGAGATAGAAGCCCATTTCTTAAAGAGAAAAAATCCTATATTTCTTTTATGATATTTGTGTCAGGAATTGAGATATTCATTTAGAACATATGAGATCCGTAGCAACGAGGGGGGGGGGGGGGGCAACCTCCCTAAAAATATTGAAAAAAAAAACAAAACAAAAAGAAACTGTCCAAACTCAAAAATCCTATTTCGGGGGTTAGGAGGGGTCGGGAGTGTACCTTCCTCTAATCTTTTGGTACAATTTTCATCAAATGCTAGAATTTACCAGTGTTCGACTTAACAAAAACAAAAGGGGGACAAACTGCATCTAAATGAAATCTTACATATCTAAACTCCATCAAAAGACTATATTAAACAAATGCCCCGGTTCCTCTGCGTTCTACAGACCTGATACTGACTGTTTTTTTAAAAACAAATTATTAAGCCGATTTTACATACTGAATTGGTCGCCCGCGTGGCGCTGTGGTTAGAGCGTCTGCTCTAGAGTTGCGACGCAAGGAGTTGATCCTTATGTCGCGGGTTCGAATCCCACTGTGGGACGTGGAGACCGGTCCTTCGGATGAGACTGTATAAACCGAGGTCCCGTGTCGCAGTAGGTGCTGGCACGAAAAAGATCCCTCACTGTTCAATGGCCGTAAGTGTCGAGTATAGGACAAAATTTGCAGCTCTCCACCGGCAAATGGTGGCGTCTCCATATGAGTGAAAAAGTAGGGACGTTAAACAACAAACAAACAAACAAACAAACATACTGAATTGTCTATGATTACTCCTTTCACCCAATCAAAACAAAGGGCTCACGGTTGTTTATGCTTACTCCTCCATGGCACCAGATCCCACATTTGATTTTTTTTCCAATGTAACCGTTTGCTCTGCTCTCATTTCGTAATGTTTATAGGATATCTGAACCATTTTCTTCAAATTTCATACATTCCTTTTTTGTTTGTTTGTTGTTTAACTTCCCTCTCTAGAATTTTTCACTCTTATAGAGATTCACTTTTTGTCGGTGGAGGGCTGCAAATTTAACCTATAATCGGCACTCAGGGTCATGTACATGGGGGGAGGGTCTTTTTCGTGCCAGCACCTATTGCGACACGGGACGTCGGCTGATACGATCTCATCCGAATGACCGGTCTCTACGTCCCACAGTTAGATTCGAACCCACAACTCCCTTTTCCGCAAACGCTTTAACCACTGCGCCGCAGGCAACAGCTGACTTTTGATCAAGTTCAGTTTATTCATCCAAACCAAATATTGGTACATGGGGTAGATTTATAATATAAATACATTTCAAACAAACTAGTCAGAGGTAAAAAAAAAAGCCATACATATACATAACAAAATATGTTATAAAATGAAGAAAGAAAAATAATGATAAAAAAGTGAGAAATGAAAAATATTTTTGCTTTATGGACATTATAAACAAATTAACTATTTAAGGTCAAGATGAGGTCAAGAGATAGTAAATGAAAGGAACTAAAGGTTTCTCAAACCAAAGAAATCAATTCCTTTCATGATACTTGAATACCAAATCTTGGTTAAATGAGGTGTATAGGACATAACTTGTCGGTAAACACAACATAAAAGTGTGTTTTGAACTGTCACTTTTGATTAAAAAGAAAGAAAGAAAGAAAAGAAGCTATAAATTTGGGATTTTTTCATGCCACACAAATGCAAAAATGTAACGAGACTGCTTGCAGTTCCTCAAAAACGGTAGTTTGTATCTTTTTGGTTTTTCAAAAAAAAAAAAAAAAAAAAAAAAAAAAAATAGATTGAATATGTTTATCCTCTCTTTGTCGGTGTAAAGCTCATTTTTCTCACTATATTCTTTATAACGTTAAACCTTCAAACGCTTATGGACTATTTTAACCATTCCTGTGTTGCCATGATATGGGGCATGATTAAAGAAAACAAAATAAATACATGCATATGCCTACAGATTTATTTATTTTGCTTGACAACACCCCATCAATTTGGTAACATAATAGGTCACGCCACAGATTACCACAGATTGACCCTGCTAAGGGATATAACTTTTTTAAATGTGAAAGTCGTCCGTTTTCACATAATTCCATATTGAATATCGTGAAATTGATTCATCCAAAGTCGTAGTAGCCGTGGGACCGGTCCAGGTATTCCTTGCTTGTCAAGGAGTTTTTGGTTGTTGATAGTAACCCCTCCCCCAAACATAAATTGTATGGCTGCCCTAACCCCTCCCCAACTGAAAGTGCTTCCTACAGGCCTGTCGTTTTCTACATCATTTGCAGTTGTCAAGTACGGGATCAGTTTATTTTGAATAAATTATGACGTCATATTGGATCTAGAACCAAAAGGCTGTCTAAGCCTATTTACTTGATATCGACATTAAAACTTTAATTTTGATCACATAATCATGACGTTTATCAATCTATTTTTTTTTTCTTTAAATGATGTGGCTCTACTGTAAAATGAAAACAAAGGGAAGATTTTAAAAAAATCACCTTGTGTGTCACAACCTTTTATTTTTCAAACATATTACATAGATATTGACAGACAATCGAGACACTGGTTTTAAGAAATTTCCTCTAACTTTTATAATCCACATTATCCAGTCGAGTTCAGTATTTCAGTTTTGAAACTAACTTAATTAATTACAGTTGATACAAAAATATATCCCTGTATTAATATATTTTTGACCCATTTTGATTGTAAATGATGCGAATTATAAACTTCTAAAATATTAAGAAATTGTAAACTATAAACTATACTTTCTTGAAAGTTTAAAATTCTACCTTTCTGCAGCCATCCTTATTTATCTTTACAACTTTTTATCACTTTAAATCCTACAATTGTGAACCTTTGAAGGATTTGACACTTAAAGAAGGGATCTAGAAAGCATGGAAGACTTCCTCCAGTAACTGAATAAATGTGCTCTGTTACTTCTGTATTAAAATCAAAAGTTGTTTGAATTTATGTTGGAGAACTCCAATACATGCATGCATGTTCGGACCTCATCTTGCTTAAATTCGTGAAATACGAGATTCAATATCAAAGGAAAATTAAAGACAGAATCGGTTTGAAAATATGAGGAAGCAAAAGTTTTATTTGATTTGAAAATACATGTACTATCAAAGAAAAGATGCGTTTTTGTGGATATGGAAGAATTTAATTTCATCGAGACCTCGGCAAACTGGTTTCTACTATATTTATTTAGTCAATATTAAATGTAAGACGTATCATTGCAGCTTCCCTGGCACCATCTCGGACAGGTAGACCCTCTCTTACAGAATTTTAGACATCCTCTTAGCAAGGTCATAGCAGTTGTTACTAAATAATCTGTATCTCATGTATGCACATCGATAGTTTCTGGCGCAACCTTTGCAACTAAGGCTCACAGAGCTGTACCCTGTTGGCGAACCCTCAATTCCACCAATGCATCTGCTTCCCGCTAGTCGGCTATTTGAAATTGCGACCATAGATTTACCTATAAATCGTTGTTAAAATTGTTAGATAATTATGTAACACTGTCTTATTTTCAAAACTGTTTAGGGAGGCTTGTTGCCTACTGTTTTTATGAATTTGGTCACTTCGATATCTTTGCAATTTACATCATTTACAATAAAACATTGAACTCATTTCTGGCAGGGTAACTCGTAAAAGACAATTGTGATTTTCTCTTCGGGATAGTATCTGCTTTTTATTATTATATTTTTTGGTAATCATTACTCTCTGTTGGGCTAGGATTGGGCCAAAATATGGAGTAAAAATTTTTCATTGGAATACAGAGTAGAAAAATCTGTTAAAATCTTTAGATCAAGAACAGCAGGACAAAGGTGTTAGAGGTAACCGATGTAGTCCATTAGTCTCTAGACTTGTTTTCATGATAAAAACTCTTCTGCTTTGACAATCTGTTGGGTAAACGTAATAAAATTACTCCCTTTTTAAATATGATATTCAATAAAGCATGATAGTGTAACGATTTTAGACCAACTGCAGCATCTGTTCGAAGTTGAAATAATTTATTGACCTCAAACATATCACGTGATAAAAAAAAATAACAAAC